ACCCTCAACGCCCTCCAGGGCTGGTCCCTGTTCCGCTTCTTGCCCCCCTGGGCCAGGCCCTGCTCCCCTCCTAGCCCTCCAGGGCCTGGTTCCCACACCCACACCCACACCCCTGCTCACCCTCGTGGACAAGGGCCCCTCTCCCATCCTCGCCCTCCAAGGCTGGGCCCTGCTACCCTCCTCACCCTCCAGGGCCTGCGCCCTGCCCCCCATGCTGCTCTCCACTGCCGGGCCCCATTACCCTCAAGGCCCTCCAGGCCCGGACACTGCTCCCCTCCTTGCGCTCTAGGGCCTGGACCCACTCACCTCACCCCCCTCCAGGGCCAGACCCTGCTCCCCTCCTAGCTGTCCAGGGCTTGGTCCCCGCACCCCGCCTCACCCTCCAGGGCCTGGGCCCTGCTCTTTTCAATGCCCTCCAGGTCAAGACCCCAGTGTCCTCAACGCCCTATAGGGCCACACCCTGATCCCTTCCTGGCCCTTCAGGCCTGAGCCCCGCTCCCCCCGCTGCCCTCCAAGGCTGGACCCACTCCCCTCAATTCCCTCCAAAGCTGGACCCCACTGTCATCCTCGCCCTCCAGGGCTTGGGCTCCTATCTGCACACGGCCCTCTAGGGCCTGGCCCCACTGCCCTCAACACCACCCAGGGCCAGGCCCTACTCGACTCCTCGAGCTCCAGGGCAAGGCAACGCTCACCTCCTCACCCTGCAGTGCCGGGCCTGCTCCCCTCCTCGTCCCCCAGAGCCATGTCCTGCTCCCGTCAGGTGCGTCCCTGGTCTCCATCCAGGGCCAGACCCGCTCCCTACTTGTCTGTCATGGCCTGGGCCCGGCTCCCATTACTGCCCACTAGGGTCAGGCCGCGCTCCCCTCCTCACCCTCCAAGGCCAGGCCTCGCTCCTCTCTGCCTTCCAGTGCCAATGCCTGCTCCCCTCCTCGCCCTCCAGAGCCAGGCCCTGCTCCCCTTAGATTTTTCATGGCCTCTTTCCAGGGCCACACCCTGATCCCCACTTGCCTCTTATGACCTGGGCCCGACTCCCACTGCTGCCCTCTAGGGCCGGGCCCCACTGCCCTCATCACCCTCCAGGGCTGGGCTCCGCTCCACTCCTTGCTATCCTGGGTCGGGTCCTGTTCCCCTGCTTGCCCTCCTGGGTCGGGCCCTGCTCCCCTCCTCGCCCTCCTTGGTCAGGTCCTGCTCTCCTCCTCAACCCCTGGTGCCAATGCCTGCTGCCCTCCTCGCCCTCCAGGGCCTGGGCCCCCTCCCATCGCAGCCCTCCATGGCTGGGCTCAGTGCCCTCAACGCCCTCTAGAGCCAGACCCTGCTCCACTCCTCACCCTCCAGGGCCTGGGCTCTTCTCCCTACGCTGAACTCCAGGGCCAGGCCCCAATGCCCTCCTCGTCCCCCAGGGCCAGTGCCTGCTCTTCTCCTTGCCCCCCAGGGCCTCCGCCTACTCCCCACACTGCCCACCAAGGCCACGGCCTACTGCTCTCAGCACCTTGTAGGACTGGACCTGCTCCACTCCTAGGTCTCCAGGGATTGCACTCCACTCCCCATGCTGCCCTCCAGGGCCCGGCCCCACTCCCCTCAACACCCTCCAGGGCCAGGACCAGCTCCCCTCCTCACCCTCCAGGGCCTGGGCTCCGCTCCCCATGCTGCCCTCCAGGGCCAAAACCCACTCCACACACTGACCTCCAGGGCCGGCCCCACTACCCTCAACGCCCTCCAGGGTTGGACCACGCTCTACTCTTCGCCCTCCAGGGCCGGGCTCGGCTCCCCACCTTACCTTCCAGGGCCTGCCCCCCACTGCTCAAAGCCGTCCAAGCAGGACCCCACTCACCACCTCATCCCCCGTGGCCTGGGCCACGCTCCCCTCCCCACCCTCCAGGTCTGGGCCCCACTCCCATGGCAGCCCTCCAGGGTTGTGCCCCACTTCCCTCAACACCCTGTAGGACCAGACTCTACTCCTCTCCTCGAGCTCCAGGGCCAGGCCCCACTCCCCACACTGTCCTCCAGGCCCAGGCCCCAATACCCTCAGCGCCCTCCAGGGCTGGTCCCTGTTCCCCATCTCGCCCCCCAGGGCCAGGCCCTGCTCCCCTCCTGGCCTCCAGGGCCTGGTTCCCACACCCACACCCACACCCCTGCTCACCCTCGTGGACAAGGGCCCCACTCCAATCCTCGCCCTCCAAGGCCGGGCTCTGCTCCCCTCCTCACCCTCCAGGGCCTGGGCCCTGCCACCCCACGCTACTATCCAGGGCCGGGCCCCACTACCCTCAAGGCCTTCCAGGGCCGGACACTGCTCCCCTCCTTGCCCTCTAGGGCCTGGACCCACTCACCTCACCCCCTCCAGGGCCAGACCCTGCTCCCCTCCTAGCTGTCCAGGGCTTGGTCCCCACACCCCTCCTCGCCCTCCAGGGCCTGGGGCCTGCTCTATTCAATGCCCTCCAGGTTCAGATCCCAGTGCCCTCAACCCCCTATAGGGCCACACCCTGATCCCTTCCTGGCCCTTTAGGGCCTGAGCCCCACTCCCCCCGCTGCCCTCCAAGGCTGGACCCCACTCCCCTCAGTGCCCTCCAGTGCTGGACCCTGCTTTATTCCTCGCCCTCCAGGGCTTGGGCTCCAATCTGCACATGGCCCTCTAGGTCCTGTCCCCACTGCCCTCAACACCATCCAGGGTCAGACCCCGCTCCACTGCTCGCCCTTCTGGGCCGGGCTCTGCTGCACTCCTTGGCCGGCAAGGCTGGGCCCAACTCCACACGCTGCCCTCCATGGCCTGGGGCCTGCTCTGTGGGGAGCAACTCGGACTAGACTAAGTTACTGGAATTAAGACTTATTCTATGCATCTGCTTTTCCACAATATGGCGCTGAGAAGGGAAACAGCTTCTACACAGCTGCCTCCAGTTCAACCAATAAACTGTGGGACCTGCTCCTGATTGGAGGAGAGCAGCGTACTCGGTGTGTGGGTAGCAGAGTTGGGATTGGTGGAAGAGGACTATAAAGGAGGAGAGAGACGGCATGCACCAGGAACACCTAAGGGGAACACCTAAGGGGAACACCTGTGCAGCCCCCGAGAGAGCTGGCCGGCGGTGTGCCACTCCCCTGCGGAAGTGGGGAAAGTGGCCAGGAGGAACCGCCCTTCCACGGAGGTGGAAGGGACGGCAGCCAACCCGGGAAGAACCAGCAGCAAACCCGGGGAGGGCCGAGCAGACGAAAGAACAGCGCAGGGTCCTGTGTCGTTCCTCCACGAAGAGGGGGAGCGACATAATGGTGCCGTGACTCGGATAGGAAGCTTAGGAGGGAAGAAACGGGAAGAAATGGGAAAATATCGGAGAGAGAGACTAGCAAACAGCCTAGGGAAAAGCCGGACGAAAAAGGTGCCGGAAGAAGCTATTGAAAGCCTAGGCATAGACTGATACGGACTACGGGGGGAAGCTGGGAGAAATCTCTAAGGTCGAAAGCGAAAGTGAAAGCTAGAACAAACAGACTCGGATACGGACTGTGGGGAGAAGCCAGGAGAAATGAGGGAGGAGTATTGTTGGAGGAAAGCTTGGGGAAATATACCGGGTAGAGAAAAATGTTAGGGAAATTGAAGCCGCGGGGGGCAGGCCGAGGCGGAAACGTAAGCCAGTTTGGGATTCGTCAAGTCAGCCCGGGGAGCAAAAGGCGAAAATCTAAAACTAGAGGCGGAGACGTATGAGCTAGGTTGGAATCCGTCAGATTAGCCTGAGGAGCAAAGGACGGGAAGCCAGACCGAAAGGCGCAGACACGTGAGCTAGGTTGAATTCGCCAGGTTAGCCCGGGGAACTTAGATTGAATACTAGTGGCGGAGACGTGAGCTGGGGCTGTGTGACTCGCAGAAGCCGCCACATGCAGAGAGAGCACGGGGCGTGAATAGATAGGGAACGCGGGGCGGCGAGGCGCCGAGAAGCAGCCTTGGGGCGGGCGCTGGCGGGGCGAGGCACCGGGAAGCCGCGCAGAGCCGTGAAGCAGCCTCGGGGCGGGCGCCGGGAAGCCGCAGGGATAAGAGAAACAGAAGTTTAGAAGTAAAATGAGAGAAATAGGAATGCTGGTAGATAGAAGTAAAATAGGAGAAATAGGAATGCCCGGAGATAGAGAAATAGAGAAAGGCCTCCCCACAACATGGCAATGAGAGAGCTTGGATTCGGTCTGCCTGATTAGTAAGGCGGTAAGCACCAGCAGGCAGCTCGACCAGAGTATGAGCTGCAGGTCACCGAAGATAGGCACAAATCAACACCAATAAGCCTCCCCACAATATGGCAATGAGAAGGCTTGGATTCGGTTTGCCTGATAGGGCTTGTAAGCACCTGCAGGCAGAGCAGAGCATGCACTGCAGGGCACCGAACACAGGCACGCATCAGTGCCTAAAAACCTCCTCACAACATGGCGAAGAGAGGACCCGGATTCGGTTTACCTGATTGATAGGACTTGTAAGCACCTGTGGGCAACTCTAGCAAGCAGAGCAGAGTGTGTGCTGCGGGGCACCGAAGACAGGCGCATATCAACGCCAAAAAATAGAAAGGGGGATCTGTGGGGAGCAACTCGGACTAGACTAAGTTACTGGAATTAAGACTTATTCTATGCATCTGCTTTCCCACAATATGGCGCTGAGAAGGGAAACAGCTTCTACACAGCTGCCTCCAGTTCAACCAATAAACTGTGGGACCTGCTCCTGATTGGAGGAGAGCAGCGTACTCGGTGTGTGGGTAGCAGAGTTGGGATTGGTGGAAGAGGACTATAAAGGAGGAGAGAGACGGCATGCACCAGGAACATCTAAGGGGAACACCTGTGCAGCCCCCGAGAGAGCTGGCCGGCGGTGTGCCGCTCCCCTGCGGAAGTGGGGAAAGTGGCCAGGGGGAACCGCCCTTCCACGGAGGTGGAAGGGACGGCAGCCAACCCAGGAAGAACCAGCAGCAAACCCGGGGAGGGCCGAGCAGACGAAAGAACAGCACAGGGTCCTGTGTCGTTCCTCCACGAAGAGGGGGAGCAACACTGCTCCACTCCTCATCCTCCTGGGCTGGACCCAGCTCCCCTCCTTGCCTATCAGGGCCGAGCCCTGCCATGCTCAAAGCCCTCCAGAGCTGACCCCTCTCTCCTCTTCATCCTCCCAGCTCTGGGACCTTCTCCACTCCTTGCACTCCAAGCCTGGGCCCCGCTCCCATTCCAGCCCTCCATGGTCGGGCCCACTGCCATCAACACCCTATAGGGCCAGACCCTGCTGCACTCCTAGATCTCCAGGGATTGGACTCCACTCCCCACACTGCCCTGGAGGGCCAGGCCACACTCCTCTAAACACCCTCAGGGCCAGATCTGCTCCCCTCCTCACTCTCTAGGGCCGGGCCCCACTCCCCTCCTCACCACCCAGGGCCAGGGCCTGCTCTCCTCCTTGCACTCCAGGACTGGGCTTCGCACCCCTCCTTGCCTTCCTGGGTTCAGCCCTGCTACCCTCAGGCATGGCCATGGCCACCTTCCCGGGCTCAGCCCCCCTCCCCTCCTTGCCCTGCAGGATTGGGCCCTGCTCCCCTCAAGCAGTTGCTGGCCTATTCCAGGGCGAGGCCCCACTCCAATCCTGGCCCTCCAGGGCCAAGCCCTGTACCCTTCCTCACCCTCAGGCCTGGGCCCATCACCTCACGCTGCCCTCCAGGGCCAGGTCCCACCCCCATACTGCCCTCCAGGGCCAGGCCCCACTGCCCTCAACGTCCTCTAGGGCTGGGCTTGCACCCCTCCTTGCCCTCCATGCCAGGCCCAGTTCTGCCAAAAGCCCTCCAGAACTGGACCCTGCTCCACTCCTCATCCCCAGGGCCAGTGCCCGCTCCCTTCAGGCAGGGCCCTGGCCATGCTCCAGGGACAGGCCCCTCTCTCCTCCTTGCCCTCCAGTGCCAGGACCAGCACCCCTTAGGCAGGGCTCTGGCCACCTCCCAGTAATGGACCCTTCTCTCCATGCGATACCAAGCAGGGCCCGGCTCCCCTTGGGCGCTGAAGTAGCCACCCATGAGTTCTGGGCCCCACTCCTCTCCTTGCCCACCCGGGCCTGCGCCCAGCACCATTGGTGCCCTCCAAGGCTACACCCCACTCCCCTCACCAACCTCCAGGACTGGACCCCGCTCCCCTCTTTGCCTTCCAGGGCCTGGATTCAGCTCCCCATACTGCCCTCCAGGGCCAGTTCCCACTCCTCTCCCTGAGTGCCTCATTCTCCCATGCTCGGTAGCTGCCTGTCCCTGGGAGTACAGGCTGGTCCTCCATGTGGTTTGCACTTGCAAGTCCCTCCTGTTGTTCAAACCCGTCCTGTGTACGTGCACAGCACTAACTGATTTGCATTTATGATCTCATTTCATCCCACCAGGAGCCCTGTCATCACTGGATCGTCTTTCTCTGTGCAACCTGGCTCCTACTACCTCTCTGCCTTGGTAGGGACAACCTTCTCCTCCCCCCGCCTCTGGTTCACCCTCCCTCCTGTGCCCTCTGCCTGGAGCCTCAATGCTCCTCCATATTCCTTGTCCCAATCATCTGGACCATGCTAACGTATCTCTGGGGGTCTCTGTGTAAGTCACTGCCCTGGGGAACCTGCTGGGTGGCACGTTGGATCCTCCTGTGGCTGTGACAAGCTCCCTCCTGCTGCCTCCTTCATGTATTGTGCCTTGTGTTTTCTTTTATTTGACAGGTAGAGATATAGACAATGAGAGAGAGAGAGAGAGGTCTTCCTTCCATTGGTTCACTCCCCAAATGGCCGCTATTGCTGGTGCTGAACCAATCTGAAGCCAGGAGCCAGGTGCTTCTTCCTGGTCTCCCATGTGGGTGCAGCAGCCCAAACACTTGCACTGCCTTCCTGGGCCACAGCAGAGAGCTGGACTGGAAGCCGAGCAACCGGGACTAGAACCCGGCGCCCATATGGGATGCCGGCACCACAGGCGGAGGATTAACCAAGTAGCCACAGTGCCAGCCAGTACCTTGTGCCTTGTAATGACCCATTCTTCAGCTAGACGGTAAGGTTTAGAAGGTGTCATTTTTCTTTCTTTTATACTCAGCTCTTCGTGTAGTCCCTCGTGTGTGGGAATGAGAGTCAGGCTCAAGCAGAAGCTCATGTCATATTAGTTAATGTATAATCAAGGCTACACCCAGGCCCCCAAGTTCTCACTCATGGGTCCTGTCTAGGCCCCACCCACTGATGCGGCCAGAAGCCACCTGGAAAGCAACACCTCGAAGAACACGACTGCCTGCTGGGAGCAGCTGTTCCGCCCAGGTCCAGGGGAGAATCTTGTGGTTGTACTGGAAGCATCAGGGCAACCATTTTACAGGCTCCTAGGAAGCAGGAAGAGGAGGGCCTTAGAGATGCCCCTTTCCACCCACTCCCAGCCTGCCCAGGAAGGAGCCACAGGAAGGCCACAGCAAGGCCATGTAAGTGCGGCAGCTCCAAAGTGGGCACTCAGCATGAAAGCCATCAGAACAGGAGGCACCGCTTGGAGGACCCACATGGTGCTGCGAACCAGGCCCCTCCGTAGACACCACTGCCTGCCTCCTGACTCAGCCCTTGGATGAGGATGAACGGTCGCTGAAGATACTTCCAGAGAATTTTGTGACTGAGAACTGAAACTGCTCTTTTGACCTGACAACAGAAGAACAACCCGATACCCAAGGGAAGGAGACTGGACGATGAGGGACACTCGCGGAGAGGGTGGCAGCACACATGGTGCTGGGAGTCTCTGGCCCCAAACCCCTGGCTCAGCTGACACTTTCTTGTTGAGAAAAATAAAGCAGAGGAAAAGAGATAATATTGCGGGGAATCGAACCTTTTATTCTGTAACAGGGTTAGTTCCAGAAAGGTCTCTGCACCTTGGACAATCTCTGCTTTGATTTTGAAACATTGCTCATGGCTCAGTAAGGTCTGAACAGTGAGGCTGTGAGCATGAACTGGCCTTTGTCCTTTGTCCTATAACCTATGTCCTGTAGCCCGTGTCCTATGTCCTGTATCCTGCGTCCGGTAGCCTGTGTCCTATGTCCTGTGTCCTGTGTTCTGTAGTCTGTGTCCTATGTCCAGTAGCTGTGGCCTTTGTCCTGTGGCTAGTGTGCTGTATGCTGTGCCGACTTCCTGTGTCCTGTAGCCAGTGTCCTCATCCTTTAACCTGTTCATATAGCATGTAGCCTGTGTCCTTTACCCTTGTCCTGTGTCCTGTAGCTTGTGTCATATGTTGTTTAGCCTTTGTCCTGTCTCCTGTGTCCTGTGGCCTGTGGACTATATCCTGTAGCCTGTAACCTGTGCCCCGTAGCCTATGTCCTGTGTTCGGTATTCTGTGTCCTATGCCCTGTGTCCTGTGTCATCTGGGCTATGTCCTGTGTCCTGTAGCCTGTGGCCTCTGTGCTGTAGCCTGTGTCCTGTGGCCTATGTCCTGTGTCTTGAGTCCTGTAGCCTGTGTCTTATGTCCTGTGTTCTGGGTCCTGTAGCCTGTGTATTGTGCCTGGTAGTCTATGACATAAGTCACAGGACACATGTTCAAGGACAGAGGCCACAGGCTACAGGTCACAGGACAAGGACGCAGGCTGAAGGACACAGGACACAGGCTACAGGACACAGGACATAGCCCAGACGACACAGGACACAGGCTATTGGACACAGAATATGGAACCCAGGATACAGCCTAGAGAACACAGGCTACGGGACACAGGTTGCAGGACACAGGACATAGGCGACAAGCTACATGACACAGGACAGAGGCTACAGGAGACCAAACTGGGACTAGAACCCAGGGTGCTGCCGCTGCAGGTGGAGGATTACCCTAGTGAGCCATGGTGCCAGCCCACGATAAATTATAAAAGAAAAAGGAAACAGACCAGGAGTCTCACCAGTGCCAGAAGACTTCGTGCAGGCAGCAGGAGAGGGCGTAACAGATGAGTGCATGGGGCTGTGGTGAGCTCGGGGCTCGGGGGCCGTGCTGTCGTGAGAGCTCAGCACAGGGACAGTGTGTCCCGAGAGCACAGTGCTGGGGGCCGTGGTGAGCTGCGGGCCATGGTGGAGCACAGTGCAGGGGACGTGGTGAGCTGCGGGCCATGGAGGAGCACAGTGCAGGGAGCCGTGGTGAGCTGGGGGCCATGGAGGAGCACAGTGCAGGGAGCCGTGGTGAGCTGGGGGCCATGGAGGAGCACAGTGCTGGGGCAGTGGTGAGCTCAGGCCTGTGGTGTCCTAAGAGCGCAGTGTAGGGGACAGCTCACCACGGCCACAGAACTCACTGCCACCCTCTACAATGAGATCCTGCGGGCCAGACCCCAGGCAGGGGTAGAACACCTCTGGAGAACCCGACTAGCCCTAAGAGAAGCCCAGACAGGGACCACGGGGCCTTCCTTAAGGCCTGGGCAGACAACCCACTGAAGGCAGATCCACACGCACCTCCCGGACAGCCAGCTCAAACTGGGGTGGAAGGCGATGTTTGCTGAATCACAGCAGGGCCCGAGACGGGGCCTCAAGTCCTCATGTCCCTGCCTCCCACCCCAGACCAGGTGGAGCTCCCGGCTCCCAGCTGTTGTGGGTGTTCGGGAGTGAGCCAGTGAATGGAGCTATCTCTCACTCTTTCCAATAAAGAAAAAGAAAGCTAAAAAAACGAAACCAACCCCCTGCGATCACACACACACAGGACACTCCGTGTGGCATCAGGGTTCCACGTTGCATCTGCTGGGTCGCTCTCAGGAAACCGGCCATCCCCCCCTCCACAGGGAACCAGGGGTGCAGCCCTGCACCTGCTCCCGACTCTTCCCAGGGTAGCGACTGCAGTTCCCGTTCATGGGCTCACCCACCACCACGTCTGCCTCTGCCACTTCTCACCAGGATGGGGTTGTGACATAGCGGGCTCACCGGGACCCGGGCATCCTGGCCCTCATCCGGGAGCCTAGGCCACACTCCCCTCCTCCTCTTCCAGGGCATGGGCCCCCCTCCCATCCCAGCCCTCCAGGGCTGGGCCCCACTACCCTCAGTGCCATCTGTATAGGGCCGGACCCTGTACCACTCCTCATCCTCCTGGGCCTAGCCCTGCTCCCCATTTTGCCCTCCAGGGCCAGGCCCTGCTCTTCTCAAAGCCCTCCAGAGCTGGACGCCAATCTCCTCCTCACCCTCCAGGGTCTGAGCCCCACGGCCTCCTCGCCCTCCAGGGCCTGGGCCCCCTCCCATCACATCCCTCCAGTGCCGGGCCCCCTCCCATCATATCCCTCCAGGGCCGGGCCCCACTGCTCTCAACACCCTATAGAGCCAGACCCTGCTCCCCTCCTAGACCTCCAGGGCCTGGGCTCTGCTCCAATCCTCACTCTCCAGGGCCTGTATCCCACACCCCTCCTCATCCTCCAGGGCCTGGGCCCAACTCCCTCCTAGCCCTCCAGGGCCTGGGCCCAACTCCCTCCTTGCCCTCCAGGGCCATACCTCACACCCCACACTGCCCTCCAGGGCCAGGCCCCACTGCCCTCAACACCCTATAGGGCCAGACCCTGCTCCCCTCCTAGACCTCCAGGGACTGGGCTCTGCTCAACCTGCACCCCTCCAGGGCCTGGTCACCACTCCAGTCCTCACTCTCCAGGTCCTGTACCCGACTCCAATCCTCATCCTCCAGGGCCTGGGCTCAACTCCCCACGCTGCACACCAGGGCCATACCTCACACCCCACACTGCCCTCCAGGGCTGGGCCCAATACTCCAAAGCCCTCCAGGGATGAACCCTGCTCCCCTCCTCACCCTCCAGGGCCTGGGCCCCACTCTCTCCTCACCCTTCATGTCCTGGGGCCCCTCCCATTGCAACCCCCATTTTCGGGCCCTACTGCCCTCAACACCCTATTGGGCCAGACCCTGCTCCCCTCCTAGACCTACAGGGCCTGGGCCCCACTCCAATACTCACTCTTCAGGGCCTAGGCCCCACTCCCTCCTCACCCTCCAGGACATGGGCCCCACTCCAATCCTCTCCCTCCAGGGCTGGGCCCCACTCCAATTCTCTCTATTCAGGGCTCGGTCCTGCTCCTGAAATGCAATCCAAGGTCAGACCCCGCTCCCCTCATGACCATTCAGGGCCTGGGCCCTGCCCCCAACATGGCTCTCCAGGGCTGGGCCCCACTATCCTCAAGGCCCCCCAGGGCCAGACACTGCCTCCCTCCTTGCCCTCCAGGGCCTGGGCATGCTCTGCTCGCTGCCCTCCAGGGCTAGACACTGCTTCCCCTCCTGGCCTTCCGGGGCTGGACCCCACTGCCCTCAAGGCCCTCCAGGGCTGGATCCTGCTCCACTCCTAGACCTCCAGGGATTGGATTCCACTCCCCACACTGCCATCCAGGGTCCAGCCCCACTCCCCTCAACGCCATCCATGGCCGGACCCCACACCCCTCCTCACCCTCCAGGGCCTTGGCCCCATTCCCCTCCTTGCCCTCCAAGCCCAGTGCCTGCTCTCCTCCTCACACTCCAGGGTTGACCTGACACTTTCTTGTTGAGAAAAATAAAGCAGAGGAAAAGAGACAATATTGCAGGGAACCGAACCTTTTATTCTGTAACAGGGTTAGATCCAGAAAGGTCTCTGGACCTTGGACAATCTCTGCTTTGATTTGGAAACATTTCTCATGGCTTGGAGAGGTCTCAAGAGTGAGGATGTAGCATGAAGTGGCCTTTGTCCTTTGTCCTATAGACTGTGTCCTTTCGCGTATGTCCTATGTCTTGTGTCCTGTAGGTCCACGGTCCAGAGACCTTTCTAAAACTAACCCTGTTACAGAATAAAAGGTTCGGTTCCCTGCAATATTATCTCTTTTCCTCTGCTTTATTTTTCTCAACAAGAAAGTGTCAATTCAACCAGTGGTGGGTGAGGAGGAGAGCACGCACTGGCCTTTGTCCTTTGTCCTATAGACTATGTCCTTTCGCCTATGTACTACATCTTGTGTCCTGTAGCCTCTGTCCTGCATCCTGTGTCCTGTGGCCTCTGTCCTATAGCCTGTGTCCTGTGTCATCTTTCCTGTGTCCTGCAACCTGTGTCATGTAGTCTGCATCCTCTGTGTTGTAGTCTGCGGCCTATGTATGCATTGAGTATCCTGTGTCCTGTGTCCTGTAGCCTCTGTCCTGCATCCTGTGTCCTGTGTCCTATGTCTTGAATCCTGTGTTCTATATCCTGTGGCCTGTAGCGTGTAACCTACGTCCCGTAGCCTGTGTACTACCCTGTGTTTTTGGTTCTGTATTCTGTGTCCTATATCCTGTGTCCTGTGTCGTCTGGGCTATGTCCTGTGTCCTGTAGCGTGTGGCCCTTGTGCTGTAGCCTGTGGCCTATATCGAGTGTCTTAAGTCCTATTAACTCTGTCTTAGGTCTTGTTTCTGGAACCTGTAGCCTGTGTATTGTGTCCGGTAGTCTGTGACATAAGTCACAGGACAGAGGCCACAGGCTACAGGACACAGGACACAGGCTACAGGACACAGGACATAGC